AATTTGCTGTTTTGTGTTGTGTTGTTGTGACTTGCCGGTGACTTGGTAGTGGTATGGTAGTGGTATGGTATGGAAGTTTGAGTTGAAAAGAAAGAGAAGAGAACAGAAGAGGACGAGAGAAGTATAGACGGGTAGGTAGGTACGGTGGAGTAGGAAGTGGGGAGTGGGGAGTGATGTTTCTTTGAGTTGAATTGTGTGTGGATCTTGAGTTGAGTTGAAATGTGGATTTTGAGTTTGGATTTGGAACTCGAACAGGTTGAATTCGGGATTGAGTATTTGGGTGTGGTGTGTGATGTGTGATATGTTTGTTTTGTAATTGGGTGGGTCGGGTTGGGAGGAAGAGGAGGGGAGGAAGAGGGGAGGAAGAGGGGAGGAAGAGGGGAGGAAGAGGGGAGGAAGAAGGGGAGGAAGATGAGAGGACTGGGATGGGAGAGATGATAAAGATAAAGGGAATGTAAAAGTTTTCTTGAACTTGATTTTTGATGTTTAATTAAGCATTATTTCTTTACATAATTCAGGTTCTTCATTTATCAAGTGCTGTTCTGGATATGTGGTAGGAAGTGATATGGTAGGAAGTGATGTAGTAGGGAGTGGTGTATTTAGTAAAGGGGTCATTTTTGAAGTGAGTAAAGTGAGTTGTTCACCAGTTGAATAGCTTGGATAAGATGTACGACTGAGTTAAATTGATAGATATTAGAAAGTGTAAATACTTAGTATGTAGATAGGATAAAAGGATAAAATAAGAATGGGGGAAGAGGATCGATGGCTTTAGAGGAGATTGATTAAAAAGAAGGAAGAGGTGATGCGGATATGGGGAGTGTAAAAGGAAATGGATGAGATAGTGGAGGGAGAGGAGGTTATGAGAGAAGGGGGTGGGGGGGAAGGGCAGATGAGAGGGAAGAAGAGACTGGATAGCGGAGAGTAAATCTAGGAATAGTTTATAGGAAAGAAGATAAAATTGGGTTGATATAAGATCTTATATAAAAGAAGAGATTTCATTTTGAATCTTTGCATTTCTGTAGGGTTTTCCTTTTCTGATATATGGTTTTTTGTAGTTTTTAGATGACGGGTGAGGAGTCGATGGGCAGCCCTAAGAGAAATAAATGAATGGGGAATGAAAGTGAAGTGAGGATAAAATGAAGATGAAGAAGGATTCATGGATGGATGAGGAGTGGAGGAAAATGAAATAAAGGGGGGGGGGGTAGTGTGCTATCTAATGAATTTATCGGATCTGTATTGCTGATTGGTGGGAGGATGGGCTTGATAGGTGTGGTAGGAAAGAGGTTTAGAGAGGGTGAAAGTCGGGGAGAAGGTGTATAAGGAGGCTAGAGGGGAAGAATGGGAAGATGAGGAGAAAGAAGGAGGAGAGGAGGAAGGATGGAGTAGATATAGATATAAATTAGTATTATAAGATATTATATGAAGATTTATATAAAGTTCTATAGAATGATGATTAGTAAATTATTAATTATTTGATATATAAGAATATATACATTAATGTATTAAATAAATTTAAATTATTTGATATATATTAAAAGATTGGGTGGAAGAGGCCTCTATATTGACTATATTACTACGTGTGTAGGCATATTAATCTCCTCTTGGTATCCTCGGAGGGGACCAATATGCCTGCTTATGGTTCGTCTAATCTAGCCTGTTTAGGTAACCGTATTACTAATCACGACACGTGATTAGTACCGGTAACTTCTATTCCTTTTAACAATATATAATATAAATTTTATAAAAAGATATAATAATTAAGTTATAAGATAGGGACTGCTTGATTTTAACTAAGGAGTTAAAGTGAGATATTTGAATTTGGATTTGAATTTGAGTTTGAGTTTGATTTGAAGAGAAGAGAAGAGAAGAGAGGAGATACATAGATTTAGACTTTAATTAATCATTGTACTTGGGCAGTTTTCTTGATAATCTTATAAAAAACACAATTGCAGGATTTAGGATCACAATGTGATTGCTCAAAATAAAATATCATTTACCCAAAGATAACTAACCAAACATCTATCAGATAATATCTTTTTCAAAATCAATCAACTTCAACTTCCTCGCATCCTTAAAATGATACTGAGCGACTTTACTCCTGACCAAAAATCTCGCTGCTGCACTATCCCTCTCAAGCGTTACATATCCATCCGTCCCATGATCATCAGCTTCTAATAAACCATTTAATAACTGCTCAGCTAATTCCCGCATTTCTGCACCAGCAGCACGTGTTTCATTCCATTCTTCCTCTTCTTCATCTTCTCCATTTTCATCAAGTGAAGGTTTAGGACCCCATATTTCATCAATTCTTCGTTGACGTTTATCTATATTTGGATTTTCTTTTGGTTTTTTGGGTTTCCCTTGGGTGCTGAAACCGGCGATGAGGGCTTCGGGTGTTACGTCGAGCATTTCTCCTACGATTGGTCCACCTAGTTCTTCGGCTGCTAACATAGAGGCGAGATGTGAGTTGATGAAGGAATTGAATGCTCGGACTAATTGATTGGTTTCTGTATCGTAGTGTTTTTTCTCGGGTTTCGAGGGTGGTTTTAACTCAGATGCTATTTGTAAAGGGGATTTTTGAGTTTGTTGTTCTAGTTGGGGAAGTGAGGGCGGTGATACGGTTTTGGAGACTGGATTGAATGGCGAGAGC